TGTTATTTGTTTACTTTTTTTTCTTTTTATTTTCTTTCTTCATCAGTATTATTTATTTACTTTTTATATTTATATTTATTTCTCTATTATTTGTATATATTGTATGAATGAGAACTTTTAGTCCAAATACTTATAGCCCTCCAGCAGTGGCTGATTGTATTATTACACTAAAAAAAAAAAAAGTTTTGATGGTGGATCGGGTCTTGTTTAGATTAGGCCGGTCAGTGATTTTTTAATGATATTTAGTAACAGTTGTTATGAAACTTGATACCATTGATATAGAAATAAAATCACATGTTTAAATATTATGTAATTTTGTATTAAAATGTTTTTAGTGGGACTCATCGCTCTATGTTAGACTCGTATTTATGTGAATTCATGTTGAGGCAGAGAAACGCAAATGAAGATATTTTTGATATAATCCTTAAGAACATAGTAGAATTTTTGCCTCCAGGGGTACCTGGATTAACTCATTAAAAGTATGTTAATGTTTTTGGTTATGTATAAAAAGTTCCTATTAAATAAATCATATGTTTCTTTAACGCATATTTTTTAATTTATCAATAAGTAACTGTTATTAGATAAAATAACTGGCGTGTCTAATCTTAACAAAACGCGGTGGATCGTTACAAATGGATTTAATTTAAAGCAAATTTAGTCTTTCATCGAAATATGGGCGCTAGGTAGACAGTTTGTATCAGTAATCATATAGAAATTTTAAAATTTTGACACTTGATTTTGCACCAGTATGTTAGAATTTTCAAATATCCAGTAATAGACCCTCTTTTCTACCATTTATAGACATAAACTTATTCAATTTTTGTCATGGATTTTTTTTTTTTTTAAGTAAACATCGATGAACCATTATTAAATACCACCTGATTTCAAGACCATCAATGAATTTTCATAGAAAACTATTGGTTGTTTATTTTGTTTGAGCGATGATAATGGAGCGGAGAATCTGCTGATGTCTCAGAATGAACTAAAATGGGTTCCTAGGTGAATAGCTTGTCAACAATTCGCAACAAGGTCAAATCAGAATTATGCTATATCATGGTTAAGTAATAAGATTTTAAAAATAATTCTTCATAAATTTATTTACTTCTCTATTTGTTGCTCATAGATAAAATAAGTATTTATTTAATAGAAAAAAATATAGTATTAGATGTTAAAACATTATTATAAATAATGGATGGTTCTTAAATAATAAATAAGCGATATATTCGTATTAATGTAACTGAAATTTTTTTTTTTTTTTTCAATAGATACAAATCGAACCAATTAGAAATATTAGAAGGACTCTTAAACTTTGTTTTGAAATTTAAAAGAACCTTTTTTTTTTTTTAGTTTTATTCGTTATTTTATATGTTTACATGAATTTATTTGTATGATTTATTCGAGTTGTATTGTTTTATAAGGTAGATTTATAAATAAAATTGAATTAGTAAATTCAACACAGCGTTTATGTAAGAAAATGGCATTTTTAAGCTCCTATTATTAATTTACTAAAAATGTTTTTGCTATAATAAAATTTTATGAACAGGGATCTAGAATCAGAGTAGTTAAATATAAATATTTTTTTCGATACAAACACCCTGTAGCAGTCTGTTGCATCAGTTTTAATACTAAGACATGGGACCCAAAAACTACAGTATGATAAAAATTTACTAAAGAATTTTTTTCGAAAATTCTAAGATAACGAAATAATATTTAAAATATTTTTTAAAAAATGTTTGTATATTTCAAACACCTATAAGGTATGTATTTCTAACATTTAGCTCTTCTCTTTTTTAAAAAAAATATGACATCTTTTGTCTGTTTTTCTTTTTTAAAATATCGAGGATTATTCATTGTCATTATTAAACGTTTCTCTTTGTCACTTTCATCTTATCCAAAGTATTCATACAGAAATATAAATTTTATAGAAAATATTACCTGAAACTATTCCCTTACAATAATAAATTTGAATTGTTAAATAATAATATTATAATTTATTTATTTTACAATTTTGATGAAGTCTTCTTATTAGATAGATGCTTACTGAAAAATAGGGAGGAATCCCCGATATGAATTTAATATCGGTTTTCGGCAGCTCTGAAACCACATTCCTAAAATATAAAAAGGTTTTATTTTAAATTTGTTATATAAATAAACAGGTTATGGTAAAAAAAAATCGGCTAGGAAGTTATCACATTTAAAATTTTAGTTAAAATTAAAATCGTTTAAAAAATATAAATAAATCGAACCATTTTTAAAACAGTTATTATTTCAGTTTTTTTTTTTAGTAGATTTCAATCTCTGTAGTGTATCATTTACTATAATAATTAATTTATATAACTATTTTTTATCTATTGATTATATTTAAAAATTAAATATGTGTTTATCATATTTTTCCTAGAATGTTATATCACACTCGTTTGCCCGTGCGAATAATTCGCAAAATTTTTTGTTTAGTAATAGCAAAACAATATGGAAATAATTAATAATTAATGTATTAAGTAAGCAAGGAATTAATATTTTTTCCTTGGTTGATTACAATATTCCATTTAACATAATAGCCTAATGTAATTGTACAAATTGCTTTTCTAGGACATATTTTTAAACGCTGACTGAAAAGATAATAAAAATGATAAAGACAAAATAATATTTTGTCATGGGATTTTTTTAATTATTAAAAAAAATAAAATTTAAGAACAAACAAATGCCTTTAAGAAATAATAAAGTTAATATATCAGCCTGGAAAAAAAGTGTAGTTGACTATTATACTCCTAAATGCAATATCTTTAAAGAAAAAGACATTGTTAAGTATACCAAAACTAATGGACTTTACCTTTGTTAATAATTGTCCAATTTTCCTGATTTTTTTTGTTTTTCAGGTAATTTAGTCATCTTTCTAATTATCATGTGTACAAGAAAAAATTTCATAATTTTTGAGTTATTCGCAAATAAAGTTTCTTTTCTTTCATAACTTTTTTTCCAGATAATAACTTAGATTTCAGAAAAATTCCTTTTAATTTTAAAATTCCTGATAATTATATATCTAAATACTTGTTTACTTAATGTAAATGCGACGTTTCCATTGATAATTAAGTACTGAAATTTTAAAATAATATTTCTATCACTAATACAATTGTTTTTTTCCTAGGCCAATAGCGTGAGAAATATTCACTAATAGAGTACCTATATAATATTATTTCACTACTTGTTAAATTTTTTATTCATATCTCTTTCTTATGATCATTGACTTAATTAACAAACACTGTTTTTAGTGCTTAAAATGCCTATACGTTGACAGCTTTGGTCATCAACTTACGTTCATGAGACTTGGTACTTATGAGTTAAAATCTACTAAAAGTAACTAAAATTAAAATATCTAACTGGTAAAAACTGGTGGAAATAATAAAGTGGAATTAAAATATAATTTTAATAGAAAATATTTACAAAGATACCTTTCAATAATTTATCAACACAACCACATCATCACAAAATGTATCTATATAAATTAGATCATAATTTTAAGAGTATAGTATCTAAACACTAAGTATATATATTTTTTATTTAACATAAAATTATGCTAACAATTTTTAACATATATGAAACATACTGACAACCATTGGAAGACATATTGGGAAATTTAGTTCAAAGACCTCCCTTGCACAACCAATTCAACAATGGTACACTGTTGGCAATTCTTTCACACTCATCTATCTTTTGTTTTAAACATAGCACTGCTAACGGTCTCAGAATGATTTCAAATTATGAAATGATTATTAAATTGTAATTAGATTATAGTCTGGTACATCTTTGTTAGCTCAGTCTTTTATTAAATAAATTATTTCAAAATTTCCGATGAGGTGTTTGAATTATCATTTAAAAATGGTTATTAGGACTTTAGTTGAATGAGATCATATGAACCTGAAGGTTTTGACATGGTCCTAAATTAGCAATACTTGGAAAAGTGAAATTAATCAACATTCTTTAAAATTTATAGGAATTATTATAATTAATGTATAGATAAAGCTATAAAATAATTCAATAAACGATATGATAATGTATTATTATGTTTCATGAATTTAATTAAGAGATTAGGTACTTGTACTCCTCTTGAGGATTGGTGATGGAATGAAATATTCTGGTAAAACCAATTTCAGAAGTCGCTAATGACATTGTTAATGAAAGATGAATATATAATGATGAATGACAGTAATGAATGATGATGTTAATAATAGTTTATGGGGATGGAATGAAATGAGTAGATAATTTGATGATATATGGAGAAGTTTATATAAGATGATTATATTAGAATGATAAGGAAAATCAAATCAATCCACTTGTTAGAGATGATTTGATGATATATGGAGAAGTTTATAGAAGATGATTATATTAGAATGATAAGGAAAATCAAATCAATCCACTTGTTAGAGATGATGAATAATATGTGAAGCAATGGTATTGATTTTGAATGGTATTAATTTGATTAATGATGATATTTCTTTAAAACAAATGTTGATATTAAAAAATAATTACAAACCATGAAAAATAATATAAATATTTTAGAATTAACGAATGAATAACATCATTAAATATGAACGTAGTAGCAATATTCTGAATTTTACTGTTTTTTCAAATTGAAGATAAGTGAATATATTTTTTGAAGAGTATGTATTTTTAAAATATCATTGAGCATTATAGTTCTCGATGTAATCAAAATATATTTATAATCTTTTAGTCATTTCACTGTCTTATCCCACTTCCGCTTCCCTCCCTTGCTTACATTATTTTTCATAAGGAAATTGTTCACATTGTTTTTAATTGATTATTTTAAGCTGATGAAAAATGGTAACTCTCAATATTGAGTTAGGCACATACACTATATAATTTACATTATATTCACAAGGCTTCGTCGATATGATTTACTAATTTATAATTACACAAGATTTTTATGTAATATAATTTTCACTTATAGTAATTGAAACGTATACTCATAGTCATTTTTCTTTATGATTTTTCATTGCCAAGTTGTGATGTTAAGAGATAGTGCGTTTTGTTGTTTTTATATTATCACTAATAAACATCAGGTGTACCGAAAACTGATGGTAGATGGACCGCATTCAACTTAACACTAAATAAATTACTTTACTACAATTACTTAAAAAATACAATTTACAACAAAAGGATCACACTTTGACGGCATCGCTAGATAGATACCAGTTGACATTTTACTCTAAGAATCGGCTTCATTGACTGGGCACAAGCTCATTGAATGGAATGACCTTGAACATGTTGTTGGCCATTTGGGTGACGAGTGCTTCGCCCGTCTCTTCGGCGATCGGGGTGACGATCTCGAGGACTTGGCGCCTATTCTGGTTCACGAAGTTAGCCGCCGTATTAGCTGCAAGAAAAATCGTGATGAGTAATATTAAAGATTGGTTGTATTTATAATATCTGTTAATGGATAAATAAGTTTAAATATATTGTAAGAGCTTGTTAGGCCAGCGCTGAACCCATCGATGGTAATGAGAATCCATCGAACGGTTTCTAAACCCATAGATTCAGCCCGTTCTATAATTCAGGAATTGAGTCACGTATAGCTCAGCTATATATATTCTGTTCACATCAGTATTGTAATTTCTCAATTAACTTTACATATTTATTATGGTTAGTAAACAGTATATTTGTCAAATCTTTATCCACTTCGATTTGGAAATTGACTTCAATTGTGTCATAATTTTGAAAATGATTTTCTCATTTAAGCCAAAAAAATATTTACATACCCAGAAAAATCAGGAAACAAAGCCATGAAAAAAAAAAGAAATTGTATCTGCTGACATCCAAAACAAAACCTAATGACATCCAAAACCTTGTGATTCAATACGGCGAATGGTGAAGATGGTAGTGAAGATAGAAATTAGAAAAGCAGACTGGAGGGAAGTGGAAAAGAAACGCTATGAGTGTTTGAAAGATAATCCGATTCCATCTGAACTGCCGAGAAGAGATGCAGTTGCCTGCTTCCGCCTGGCTTTAATATATATATATATATATATATATATATATATATATATATATATATATATATATATATTAAAAAATCTAAATTATACTGGGCAGCAAGATGTCGGATGGCCGAATGACCAACGATTTTGGCATATGAAAAAAAATGGCTATTAATAGTGCAATATAGTATCGGAATTGGATATCTTTAGCAAAGATACAACCTACAGTATTTCGTGCTAATGTTTTGGTTTCTTATTTGGCACGAACCATTGGAATTGTCCAAGTGTAAAAAATAAATCCTCTAAATCATAATTCATTGAATTCACTTGTTTATATATATATTGTATGACCATATGTTTACTGGCCAATTTATTAAGCTAATTATTAGTTTATTGAACTTTTTGTGAGCTATTTAAAATAAATATAAATTAAATAGTAATAAAAGTAATATAAATTAATGTAAATGATCGCAAAATATTGGAAGGGCTGGCCTCTCTTAATGTTTCGTGTGTAATATTAACATTAGAGTGATTAGAAATATACGGGGTGCTCCGCAAGCGGAAGGAAATTTTGATAGGAGTGATAGCAGACCTCAAGAGATACAAAAAAGGTCATATAAACAATGGGCCAATTTTTGGCAGAAAAGTAGCAAATCCAAGTTTTATGGTTTTTTAACAGATTCTTGTTTTTTATTGAATCGATAGCAATAACTAAAGAAATATTTAATTTAAGTAAATAATAATTGTTTCAATGTAAACAAGATGAAAATTAATTTTAATGAACATTAAAATTTATCATTGTTAAAACCATTTACAGAGGACTTTTGAGTGGCTAAAGTAAGCTATGTTCTGTTTTTAGAAAAATCATAAATTATTCGCCATTTTTTTTTATCGTAATCAGACAATACTGCACTTACCCCGCTGTCACAAAACCTTATTCTTTTAATATGTTTCATGTTCTTATTAATTGAGTTGAGGTTTATCAGGGACAATTTTGATATTCAGATCAAGTATTGTAAAAAAAATATGTTATTTTTTATCCTGTTGATTAAAAGTACTCCTATTTTCAGCAACAATGACTAGAATTAATTGTTGCAAAGCATTTCTCATTTTCCCTTGATCAGAGATGTTTTTAATAAACTCAATTGCCTATACACACATTTCATTTATTAAGAAAAATAAATTCGAAAAATTCTTCGAAATTTTTTCCGGTAAATTCAGAGGTTCTGGAAGAAATATATTACGTGAGATCTGCGAGTCATCAACATAGTGATGTATGGATTTAATAGGAATATGGTGCTAATTTTCCCTCGGGTTTTAGCAATTTAACTGCAATATGTGAAATCAAATGTCAAAATTAAGATACATGTTTACATTGCCGATGGAAAGAAAAATACTTGTTGAATTAAATTATTTATTTTGGCTTATGTACTGCACCTAGGGGGAAAGTTTCGAAGTTCCGTTATTTATTTTTCAACACGCTCAGACTGAATTCTAACCTTCGCACTGCAGACCGAAAATCAAATCAACCATGAAAGGAAATAGTTGAAGAGGAGATTGGTTAATCTATGTGGAAAATATTCTCTTAATAAGAGCGTAGCACTATTAAGCCAATTATTATCATCCTTGTGTAAAAAGGTAGCAATGGGTAATCGTTATCGTGTTTCAATTTATTAGATTTACTAGCTTAAAATTCTTTCCTTTATTACGAGAAGTTTATTAAGGTGTTTGGTAACTACAAATATATTTTATTAAAATTTTGATGGATTTTGAAAGCAAAAGGTGCTTGCTTTCTAGCAGCAGTACAGAATCGGTACAGAAATATTGAGAAATTCAATTATTGAATAGTAAGCATACTTGTTAATTATCGAACACAACAGGCGGGAAACAAATTAGGAATGTCGTCGATTTCGGATTCGCTTAAATCACCTAGAACGAAATAAAAGTATAAGAGCATGGAGACAAATCAATTAAAGGAATAAAATCTTCTGAAAGTACCGGCAATAACTGAGAGTCACGTTAAGAATAAAAAAAAGTTTCATATATAAAGGATTTCCCGTAGGTAGAAGAAAATATTGAAAAGGTTGATAATAGACATTAAGATCTACAAAAACTTCATATAAAAAATTGACGAATTTGCAGCAGTAAAATAGGAAATTTAAGTATTCTCTTTATTCTTCACGTTTTTTGTTGAATAGGAAGTGATAACTTAAAAAATATTCAATTGAAGTAATTTAACATCACTCTATAGTAAACTATATAAAATTTACTTTAGATAGAAGTATAAATATGGAATACATTATAATTATAAATACTTTTTAATTACTATGACACGGATCTGGAAAAGAAGAACACGATTCCATAACCACTTTACGTGAAAAATATTTGAAAACACATTATTTTTAAATTTTTTATTTTTATAAATAAAATATATTTTTAGGCAATCATGTTGATTACAATATATCCCATATCACGGAAGATAAAAAAAAATAGAAGCTTTTTAACAGTTAATTGTAGTCATTTGTGCTGAAAACGGGTTCTTTCAAGTGACTGGATAGAAAATCACATCATTTCTCTACACAAGTTGAGTTAAATTTCAAAAATTTTCCTAATAAACCTCAATTTAATTAATATATACTTAAAGCCTATTATACAAGGAAGGTTTTCTAAATGTCTGGTAAGTGTTATACAGTTGAAGAGTGCTAAAAAATCACAAATAATATGTCATTTTAAATTGATTTTTAAACTGAACTTAGTTGGCTTAAAATAGTTTTAAAAATGACATGCTCTACTTCCGTTTTAAGTAAAGTTTGTCTTGTTTACTCTTAAGCAATGTTAAATTATTTTAATCGAATATTTTTTATATTATCGCTTCATATTGAACAAAAAACGTGACTCGCTTAAAAAAAAAACACAAATCTTTAATTTCCTGCTTCACTGCTGGAAATTGAGCAATTGTTTATATGAATTTGTTTGTAGATCTTGATGTCCGCTCTCAATCTTTTAAATATTTTCCTCTAATTAAGGACACCCTGTGTACATTATTTTTTTATTGATTTTAGTACGTTTTAGTTTATCTTGTCTAATACTTGTAAAACAGATAAAAATGATTGATTTCTAGAAACCTATTCTAGACAGAAGAGAAAAGAAGGAAGGTCAAGTTGTTATGTGTGTCGTCATAAAATAATTTTATGATTTATATTAGTAATCGATTTATAATATTTATTATCATATTCCCAACCAGGATCTGTCCTTAATGACTATGAGCCATCAATGCCTTCAATATAGTGTTCAGTAAAATAATAATCTTTTGACATTTATTATCTGCTAATGAATAATAATGTCTTTAAATTATAAATACTTAATCATCATATTTAATCATTGGTATTTACTAGTTCTTTTATTTTATACTATTTTCTATCATTCATATTCTTTCTTGCTTTTTTTTGTCGTTTTGTACCGTTCTCCTTGACATCATGTATATTCCTTAATATCATATCCGCTCATTACCATTGTAGATAACAAATTTATATTGACAATAATATGTTCCTTATAAATAAAACTAAAATTATTGGTATATTATATTTCTAATCATACTCACTGATGAGGGCATTCTGTTGATTATCGTCGGTGTTGACGAACTTTACAACTTGGTCTCCGACCTTAGCCTTGATCTTGAGGGACTTGATGTTGACGTATTTGGCTCCTTTCTTTCCAGTTACTAATTCTCCCGTACCCTTGACGTCGGCAGAAATGTTAGCTATGGAAAAATATAGGTAGTATTAATGATAATGATAATTCAAAAATTGAATATTTAGAAGTTTTTTTTATTTTAATATTATGATAAAAAGCTCAACAGGTCGAGCAAGTTAAGGCATCTGCCAAAATTTTATGCTACTAGTTTAAATCCCGTTTGTGGGATATATAAACAAAAAAAAAGATATAAATATAAAAATTAAAATAAATAAGTACAGTCTCTACTTGATTGCTTAGGCCGCTTAGGGTTCGATTCCCGCCTGAGGACAGTACGTTCCCACCCAGATATTCACAGGAAGGTGAACGACCCCTGTGTCTAAAAACATAGTTCCTTGGTCCTACAGATTGGGAGTTGGGCGCAGGGCTAATAACCTCATCCCTTAAAAAAAAGGATAGAGATGTCTGCAAAATATTTCCAACCATCCTGATGAAGAGAGAGTGATTTGTGATCGCGTCCGGTTATTATAAACAACGTGCTCCCTGGATATCTATATAAGAGAACAAAACGATCACATCTATCACCTAGGACAGCCTAATCTGGTAGAAGACTAATGGCGAAAATCTAAGAAGTCAAGGGGCGTTAAAAAAAAAAATCCAAAATTTTTAGTCTAATAACAGCAGACGCTCCATAGTAAAAAAATAACAAAAGTCTACATACCGACATACATCTACCAACTTTCGATCAACTCATACGTACACCTTATTTCAGCTGTCATATTGAAATTAACGGACATAGCAACCGACTGATAAACGACACGACCATGGCTGAGATGCCTATTAGAAGGCCACTGAAAAACAGGAGGATGAGAGACCTTTTGTAAATCAAGACCGGGAAGAAGTGTTGTTGGTTTCCATTTGATTTCCAGCATATTTGCTTTTTGTCACTTTAGTCGGTGAATAGAATAGAAAACAGAAAAACTAAGAAAAAAAATCATTGGAATTCCAATTTTTAATTAAGAAAACAAGAAATTTGCACTTTAATTTGTTTTTATAATAGAAATATTACTTAAAATTAAAATTTCAAGAAAAATTAAGCTATTGCTTATGTTGAGCATTATATAAATTCTGAGAAAATACCTTTTACACCTTTTAGAATTTTTTTTTTTTTTTTTTTGTCTATTAAATATGTATTTGCGCCTGTCAACAATAAGTTAACAATCAGCAAATGTGATGGCGGTAATGATAAAATGACATGACAGGCATGGGGAAGGAAAGTACTCAGCAGTACCTCTTCCCTAACTTGTTCCAATTACTTAGGTTGTCTAAGGAAGGAGATCCCTCATCCAACGCCTTTTTAGTCTCCTGTTCATGTTCTGAGGTATGTCAGCTGTGGCCATGTCTCTTATAAGTCTGTTATTATGTCCGTTTAAATTTGTGTAAAATCGTTGATATAGGGTCGTTATATGTTGGTCAACTGTTGGAAGGTGGAGGTCAGTATGTAGAGTTTTGTTAGTCACGTACCAAGGTGCTTTTGTTATGAGTCGCAATAATTTTGATTGGAACGTTTGAAGTTTTTGTAGGTGGGTCTTTTTAGCGATGCCGTATATTTGTGATGAGTATGTCCATATGGGCTTAAGTAAGTATGTATATGTATTCAGTTTCTGTTTTAGTTTTAGTTTCGAAGATTTGGCAAAAAGAGAGTAAAGTAGTTTGAGTCGTTTGTTAAGTGTCATGCGTTTCATTTTAACATGTGGGCCCCATGTCATCCTTCTGTCGAAGGTGAGTCCAAGGTAAAGTACAGTGTCCGTTTGAGGAATTTGATTGTTGTCAATATAAACTGGAGGACAGGTGTTTTTTCGAAGAGTAAATGTTATATGTTTGGATTTGTCATGATTAAGTCGAATTTTCCATAGTGTGAACCAATCTTGTAGTTTAAGCAAATGATGTTGTAGAGTTAGTGAGGCCTGTGTAGGGTCTTGATGTTTTGTGAGGATTGCTGTATCGTCTGCATATGTAGCTGTCAAGATCTCATCGTCAATAGGTATATCGTAAGTGTATATAACGTAAAGTAGAGGGGCTAGTATTGAACCTTGGGGAACTCCGGCCAAGATTGGATGGACTGAAGACACTTCCGAGCCCTGCCGAACTGAAAAAAATCTGTCGAAGAGGAAAGATTGAAGGATAAGATAGTAGGTGTATGGAAGTATAGTCTTAAGTTTAAAGAGAAGACCCTGGTGCCAGACTCTATCAAACGCCTGAGCAACATCCAAAAATACTCCAGTTGCATATAGTTTTTGTTCTAAAGCTCCAGCAATGTAGTCTGTAACTCTGTGCAATTGATGTGTCGTCGAATGGAATGTGCGAAAGCCGAATTGGTGGTCAGGTATTACCTGTTGGTCAGTCAATATGTCAACAAGTCTTTTGTATATTAATTTTTCAAAAACTTTAGAGCATATAGGAAGGAGGCTAATGGGTCTGTATGATGAAGGACTGTATATGTCTTTACCGGGTTTGTGAATCATCTTAATAAGTGAGTATTTCCATTGTAAAGGGAATTTTGACGTCCTTAGTATACAGCATTACCTTTTAGAATTGATTATAAATTATAGAATTATATATAAATTGTAGTTTAAAACATTAAAAAATTATTTACTGAAGTTTCCAGAGAAAATTCCCTTTCCTCTGAGTGGCACAACAAGGAGTCTTCCATCAATGTCATACTCTGATGTGACATAGGCTGTAGGGACTAGTACGCTCATCTCAACCGATAATTTGTCAAGATTTGACCTAAAAAAATAGAAAATATTTAAAATATGCATGTAAAACATTGTTAGTGTTAGTGAAAAAGGTCGTATGTAACAACTTTACAAGTTTATTCTCTTTGTGCTAAAGGTGACATTTTGTAGTCTACAACTGCTGCATGTAATCTGTTGAATTGGAAAATATAGATAGGAAAATGAAATATGAAATAATGCTAATAAATCGTAAAGAAATAATTAGTTCTTACTTATCTCTAAAAAAAAAGTATCAATTTTTACATACGACATTTTGCACGAATAGTAGCAGTATTTATATTTGTAACAATACGAGCTGTTCAAACACTTAAGTGAGTCAGTTTAGTCGTTACGCAATATTTGATAATATTTTTTTATTTAATTTATTTATTTAGAAATATAACAATCTGTCACGTGGACAATAATTATAGTGATATATGAACATATTCATATCATATATACAGAAAATATAAAATTAATAAAAGTAAAGTAATAATCAAAAACTATGTACAATAAAAAATAAAATAACCTAAAGATAAGTAAATTAAAAACATAAAAAGACAGTCACACCTATGATAATATTAAAAAAAATAAATTATACAGAATTGGTGATAAGAAGATAAAAATAAATTTTAATGCAGAAAACGTAAGTCTAAAAGGCTAGGATGAAGAGAATAAAACAAAACTTTATATTTAAAATTAAAAAAACAATGAAATCTTTATAAACATTTTTTATTATTATTGGAACCGAGCGATAGATGTTACCGTCTAGTCAGATCAAATAATTGTTATTGTTAAATAAACTTAACTCAAAATAAGAAATAAATTGTTGCAGAGATGGTTGACAGTGAGGGGAGGGGGGAGAAGGGAGGTGCGGTCAAATAAGTAGTATCTATTAAAATATCATTTCATTGTTAATGGGCATTAACAATAAAATACTAAGGCGTTAGTAATAAAATACTATTATAATAAGTTGATTCGAGCATTTCGCTTCGAGCGAACCATTAATTGCTTCACTAATTTTTTTTCTTTTTCTTTTTTTGAGTCGAAGTTATTATGTGTTCAATATTAACGTTGTAAAGATAATATTAATCCAGTTATGCACCGATGGATTGCTCCAATTCGGTTACGATTACTTATTTCCTATATTACTTATTTCGCATATTAAAAGTAATGGAACAATTATGCCCGATTCTTTCACTAACTAAATCAGTTAACTGGTCCATATACAAAAATATTTTTAAAAAAATAAAAATAAATAAGTAAGTATAATTTGGATATGTCTAGTTCTTCTTATTAAAAATCCTCAATTATTAATAGTTATTATTGATTAATTATGATAATTATTAATACTCATGAAGTGGAATACCGTAAATTATTAATAGTTATTATTGATTAATTATGATAATTATTAATACTCATGAAGTGGAATACCGTAAATTAGCGCCTCATGCTCAAAGCCACGCCAAGCCCGCAATGCTTATCATTTCATCAGGTTAGTATTGCTATGTATGTAAGGCTTTGAATTATTTTTTTTATTGATTTTAATTACATTTTGTAATATTTAACTTTTTTTTTATGCAGAGGCTGTTTACTAAAACTCAATTAACATCTAACTAAAACTAAAATATATCATTTATTATTCGCTGTATTATTTGTTGATTTTCTTATTTAAAATAATATATTAATTTGTATTTTATGCATAAATTTATCTATTGGCATTGGATTGATAAAAATTATTGCTGTTATATTTATTGAAACATATTAATATAGTATTGTTTAGGAGAGAATGCAAAAGTGTTATTGAAAAATTAAAATGTAATAGATGTTATCACAATATCTGGGCGTATACCGTGTAAAATCTCTTGAATATATAGGGTGCCTTAGTTCTTAATGACTAAACTCTGGTGGGAGATTCCAGACATAATTTCTAACAAAAAAGTTAATTTAACGTATGTGCCAATTCTGAACGGAATTGGTCACAAAGACCAATTTTGTGTTTTTTCTAAACCGCTCAAGTTTTTTCATTGAATAAGAACAAATTGCTCGTAAACTGTTCAAAATAACTGAATTCTGAGTGCCCCATCACAAATTAGACAAAATTTTCTTTGAGAAAACAGTGATTACATTTATTAAAGTCAATGATACAAGGGATTTTTAGAAGGTATAATCCGAGCGCAACAGTGCTGCGAACGAATCGGAAATACAGAGATTTGCTGATCGTGTATGGGATATTGATCAGCGATTGTATTAGCCCTTCTGTAAGTCCCTTTTATCATTGACCTTAGTAAATTTAATCACTGTTTCCTTAAAGAAAATGTTGTATACTTTACGATCGTGTATTTAGAATTTTGTTATCTTGAATAGTTTTTGCGCGATTCCTTCTTATTCGATAAAAATTGTGACAATCCAAAAAAAAAAAAAAAGACAAAATTGTCCTTAATTCCTTTTTCTTTGGGAACTGCTTCATACATAGAAATGGTCAACTGTTGATTCCTGTAAGAGAACCTGATTGGACGTGCATTCGAAGAAGTACACACAAATCGATTATATTTATTTTCTAATACATTTTTTTTTTGTAAATAAATATAATTTATTTCTGTGTATTTCTATGACTGCTACCCTAAACCAACATCTCTTACAAATATTAATTAAGTAGTTATTGATATATCAGTTTGAAAAATGTAAACTTTTACAAATTTTCCATAAATTTTTCATTTCCCGACATACATGTAACATTATTATTCATAATAACGTTATGAGTACTTTCATTTTCCAATTCAATGAATTATTATGATTCACTACCAATTTTATTCATAAAATAGTAAATCACAATACGATTAAAAATATTTTATAAGTCATTAGTGGTTTATAAACATTTAGATATAATCTTAAGAAAAATAAATAAATTCTTTAAATAACTATACTGACTTAAATTTGTTGACTTTAAATCCCATTCCACCCCATACTTTGAGATCCTTGAGGTTGGCTTTGACCTTGATGTTCTCCAAGTCTCTGTTTATGGACAGCTGAGGGATGTGGAGTGGTTCCAGCGAAGGCACTCTGATCTTCGGGATACCTTAACAAAAGGGTAAGCCAATAAATCTGACAAGTTCACCAACTTCCTAAAATTCTACTAGTATTATGTGATATTTTAATCTTTGTTACGTAAACAGTTGTTTAGTAATTATATGGCCACAATAAATCGTTGGGCGAAGGTGAGATTACGCAAACGCTGATGGCGGTCAAAGCCCTAGGACACCTGGTCACTAACTGGAAAGGTTAGCGAAAGTAAACCGATTACGTGTCCGAGCTGCTAAATGGTTACTCAGTTTACCAACCTACCTAAATGTACTTACACAAAAGAGCTTTTATAAGAAACTACATACCTGGCCATTGAGTAACAACTGAATACTATTTTTAAATATTTTTATTCTGCTTTCATTTTTCTTAAATATAGCTCGTAGTTAGGAAGATATCAGGCTTTACAATTATAAGTTGTTATTGTTAATTTTTAATGGAGTTATTAGTTTTTATTAATTTATTGTTTTTTTATTATTTTATACCCCGGTTTCTTAACTGGATTTTCATCATTTTTTTCTTCTTGGAAAAAATAACTAGGACATATCAATAGATTATATAATTAAAGAATCCCTCGTTGAACCAATCGGAAAGAAGAGTAAGCCAAAACTTGTTTCAATATTAATATTAAAGTTTTAGGATAATGTTACCCGTAAGATGAACTCATGAACAATGTGTGCTAAATCCTCTTGTTATGTTTCAGCTTTGTTTATGTTTTAAATGATTCATAAATAGAAGAGTTGTCGAATGCATTTAATTTTTAAATAAATAAAAAGCGACTATTAAATGTTATTTTTATTTATGTATTTATAACAAACTGCAGACCCATCCGAACCCTCTCGTTTCAAACCTTGCTTTCTCCTCGATCACTGATAACTCTTCGAGGAGTCTGAAAAGAAGGTGGCCTCGTGATCTTCTTGTGTAAATTTATTATTTGAGTGATATCAGTGGGTAGTTTCTCAACAAGAGATTTCATATTATTATATTCCTGAGTGTACATTCACTGCTTGTATTATTTTTTTTTTATAATACAGTTGTAAATATCAAGGAATAAAAAAAAAAATAACAAAAAAAATTATATATTCTTTTTTACTTTAAAGCGTTTCAAGACTGCATCTGTCCCATCTTCTGACAAACTAATGAATATTATTAGTTAATAAATGGTATTATATTTATTCAGTATATGAAGACAGTCTAAGAATTAAAACCATCCATGTTCTCTTCTTGATTTCTTGAAACACTCAAACAACTCTAAAATATTTCAGTTTTCAATTGAATCTTGGTTTATTATTTTCGATAATGAACCATTGTAATCGAGCAAAATATTCAAAAACTTAACCCCCTCTTAACTTAAATGATAGATATTTTTTATTTTTACGTAACAATTTAAAAAAAAAAATGCGTTTGCCCGTCTTTCCAAACCATTCCATTAAATATGTTCAGGATAAATATTTATTAACGTACTTATGCTGAGAAAATATTTTTCAAAACTGATAATCAAGTAACTTATTATATGTATGTATTTATGTGTACGTTTATTTAATTTTGTAACTTACCTTTTGCTAGGTAAGGCCTTACGACTTCTACTGCATCTAAGACACATTTGTCGAAACTGGGATCATTCCTCTTGCACGTTGGGATATAGTCAGCTGTAAAAGAAAAATATAAAAATAAATGAATAAATATATATATGACTAATAACATTTAAATATAACTCAAGTATTTTTAAATCGAAGCTATGTTATTCATAATAATTGTAAATACTACAAATAAACACTGATCAATATTTAATTATTTTATGTCGTAATTGTCCCTTATGGTATTATTGTTATAAATCATTTTGAAGGGTTTAAAGACAGAATTTAAATTTAAATTTTACATTTAAACAGAGTTTAATTAAATTCGAACAGAATTCTTCAGTTTCTTATTCTTTCCGAAATTTTTTTTTCTAATTTTTTAAAATAATATTCTTTTATTACGTGATTTAGTGAGAGATACTATTTTATTTATAGTACATTAACATTTATTTTATTTTTTCTAGAAAAAATGAATTTTGCGCATGTCAACTTATTGTTGACAATCAGAAATTGTGATGGCGATACATGAAATAATGACATGACAGGCATGGGGAAGGAAAGTACTCAGCAGTACCTCTTCCATAACTTGTTCCAATTACTTGGGTTGTTTAAGGAAGAAATTTGACATTTCTTTCAGTTATTAAATCCTTAACTATATGTATTTTTAATTTCTCGTGTAGTTTTGACACTATCTTTTTGCATGGCTGTTTCTCAATAACTTTACATAATATTCCATTTTGAAACGACTGTAGTTGTTTAAAATTGGTCCTAATATCGTTTTGTAGGCTAAAATCTTTAGATGGACTGAAAGGTTTGTGGAAGTTAATAGATAATTTAGTAGGTATGTTTTCTGTTCGATGTTTTTAATTTTTTCATAACAGTTTGCTGAAAAACTTAAATGAAGTTTTAGAGTTTCAAATTATATTCTTTTTTCTATTTTTTTTTTTTTTTTTTTGGCTATGAAAATTTATTTGCGCTATATTTATTGTTAACGATCAGCAAATGTGATGGAAATACAAAGATATATATGACATGCCAGACATGAGGAAGGAAAGTACTCAGCAGCATCTCTTTCTTGACTTGTTCCAATTACTTAGGTTGTTTAAGAAAGGAGATTTTTCACCCAACGCCTTTTTAGTCTCCTCCTCATGTTCTGAGGTATGTCAGTTGTGGCCATGTCTCTTATTACTCTGTTATTATGTACGTTTAACAGACTTAAACAAATGTTCTTACGTTTGCTTCTTTTCTTGAAGATATTTCAATTATACGATACCGGTTAAGCATTCATTTATAATTAATTTTCCATTTTTCATATTTACTTTCAAGAAAAAAAAAAAGAGACCACACACCCGAGGATTAATTAATATGTCTAAAGACGGTGACATGTTTGTTAATATGCGCGGATATATGGCTATGAATCATGGTCCTGTAATTATCACATTTTCTGGCCATAATTTCATGCATTGTCGCCGAGAGAGGAAGTACTTTCTCTCCTTTTAACGAAATGCTGAAAGGAAAAGAGCCTATTACGTAAACAAGGGACCGAACCATGAAGATAAATCAGGATGGAGAGACCCAATTTAAAAGAACCCTGGGTTGTGAAAGAGGGGAAGTCCTCGCTCCAGATAGCTTTGGAAAACTAAATTGGGTTTTCCCATGTCGAATAACAGCCGCTTATATTTCTCATGAGCCTTATTTCCTAATATGTATTTTATATAATAGACAACATAATATATATGATAATCGTAAATGTTCATCGACTGATCGGAGTACGCATCTATTACAGGACAAACGTGTATCATCATTAAACACCTTACGACTCAGTTCTGGGCCAACTACTAAATTTATCGAACTGGAATGAGTATAGATTAAAATTGTTTGCTTTATCTTTAGTTTTTAGGTTTAATAAATAATTAATATAAAAAATGGAATATCCCTCATTATCAATCAGAAATTATGGGTGCTTGAAAAAATGATTATCAGAGTATAGGTATCCACGAAATAGAAGTATGAAGAAAAAGAAGAATATCAAGACCTTGAATACGTCAGAAAAGTAAATAAAGAACTATGAAAAAAAGAACAAAAAAATAATAACTTTGCTTTTTAGAACTTGTTTATTGAGTAATATTACAATCTGTCTCAATTAAAGATATTTATAATAGTGTTCAGAGAGCACATTCACAATTTATGTACAGAAAATAAAAATAAATTAAACAGCAAACTAATATAACTAAAACTAAACGTGTTTTGTATATTTTATTTTATTTATTGTATATACTTTTTGATTATTATTTTATTGTTACTTTGCTTCTGTTTATTTTATATTTTTTTGCACATATAGTATGAATGGGATCTTACCTCACTATAACCAATGACCTAAGGACAGAATGTTGTAATATTAAATAAATAAATAAAAATTAGACGTATTTAAAAAAAAACTAAACTAATCGAAATAACAACTTAAATACAAAAATATACCTTGTTTATAATAAATTAATTCGAATTTCCAAAAATGATTCCAGTATTTTTTGGTACTTTTAAAGCTAAATATCAAATTATTTTACACCTGTTCGTCATTTTTTCTTAAGCACTCAGAGAATTATGTATTTTTTTTTTTATATCTATTCAATTTTATTTTATATGACCGTTTATGTTAAGGTTTTAAACTTTACACAATAGTGTTTGAAATTCTCCTCTTAATTATTTTTACTTTATTAGAAATATGTCTATTAATAAGTAGAAAAAAATTATACCAATAAATAAATCATTTTTTTATTAGTCAAATCATAATTTTAATGATTTTTTTTTTCCAAAATCCCGTACCCCTATGTATCCAGGATGAAAAAAATATTGTATGTAAAAATTACTTTATAATGAATAGTTTAGCAAGTATATCTTAAGCCATATTATTTTTAATAATATCCAGTGCTCTTGAATATATTAATTTTAATTTTGCAGTGCATTAGTTTGTAGTAATACTTATTTAGACAGAGATATGACGATGTGTATGACGATGAAAATGTCTGAGGGAGGCACATTTTTACATGGTTGTAAATTTTTAGAGTAAAATATATTTTTAAGCGGTTATCATCTGAGATACTTTAATACCAACAAATAAAGAAAAAAAATAAACTAACATAATTCATTTATTTACTTTTTTTCGTATCCTTTTATATTATCTTGCTATGATTCCATGTGTCTTGAAACTTTTTCATTTAACTTTTCTTTGTAAGGAGACATTTAATCATAGCTTATGTTGATATAAATTCCACTTTTCTTATCTTTTCTTCTCTTTTCATCAAGCACACTAATATGATCCTAAAACTAAAATTTTAATTTCATAATACATCTCGCCCTGTCGTATTCCTGAACGTGTGTACCTGTAACTTGACTGAATGCAAGTTATATTGTTCTTGGGTTCATAAAAATTGTTATTCATCTCACACCAGTTAAGAAATCCTTGACTTGGTAGTTATGATTCCTTTCGAAGCTTTGATGTTTTGAATCATTGAATTGGTATTTCTATTACTGTATTTCTAACTGATGCATTCTAAAAATATGTTATATGGAAAAGACTTTCTGTTAATTTTTGCTACGTGTGAAAAAAGATTATCTAATATCGTAAAATATCATTGTATACTAAAGATTCCAATAATATGTTTCAACTATTTATCTAAGAATTTTTAAGAAGCATACGTAGTGATAAAAATGAACCTCTTAACAAGGCTCTATTACATTATAATTACTTGGAAGAATAGTTTAGAGAATCTTAGTGAGTTATATGAAATCCAACCATCAGACCACGGTCAACGATATGAAATGATATATTTAGTAACATTCTTAAACTCTTTCGCCGTGTCATATGGGATTTTTTATCCTTCATATTTCTATCCACACCTGTCTTAAGCTTGACAATAAGCAGATGTGTTGTAACTAATAACGAAATTGGCATTTTAGACATGAGGAAGATTCTTCTTGGTCTTGGTTTACTTCCTCAATTCAGGAAAGGGGATCTCTCATCCAGCTCCTCTTCAGTCGTCTCCTGATGAGCATGTTAGTTGTGGCCATGTCATTAATAAGTCCCTTGGGATGTCCGGGTAGTTTAAGATGAAATCGGGAGTAGAGATAATTTAAAATGTATGGGATTTAAAATGTAAAATAAACACGTATTTTATTATATGACTAATATTGTTTTGTTAAAAATAGAAATGTATTTGCTTATATATAAAATTAAAACACACTTTTTGTTTAATTGGGCTCTTTCCTTCCCCGTCTGGATTCATAAATGAAGCGAAGATGAGTTAATAAAAATGTTCGAATAAAATACCCTTACGATACTAAGAAAGATGTTGAAATTTTTTTACTAATTTTTCTACTACGATATGTTGTTAGTAAGTGACGTGTTTTAATAGTGTACAGCTATTATGTAATCGAATGAGCTATTAATAAAAGTTATAGTTGATACGCTAAATATATACCATGGCAACGATTTATCGGTGTTTCGTTCAGAACGATAAAAAGGCGGACAAAGGAACGATGGCTGAAATTCCGCTGTATGGTACCCATGGTTCACAATACCAAGATATGATTCAATATTGGCCTTTATTGGCAAATAGTCCATGTCACGTAACAATAACTTAACGAGATTTTTAAAAGCCGTAGCGAATCGGGTCTAGTTACCTAACTGCCATTTCCGAGGCACCTATACGGCCTGTTTTCACTATCAAAGGGTGACGACAGTCATATTGCTGATTTAATGTCGACGTTTATGTTTATTTTATGAGGTTGGAGTTTCGATGCTGCATGAGAAATTACGATGATGTAATGTTGAGGAAGTATACATTGCGATAATCTGACAATACATAGATTAATAGATTGCGAATTGCGTTTCAAAATCTATTGGTTACAATGGTGATATGATAACTAAATACAATCTTGTTATCTGTGGCCGATGTAATTGATTATTGAAATAATTCTTATCTCATTTTTTTTTACTTTATTTAATAATTTATTATTGGCATGTGCTGATGATCATTTTCTCGAGAGGTGCGGATAAAAGTCTAAAGATAGAAAAAATAAATATTTTTAATAGTTCTGGTCAGAAAATTCAGTATCAGAGAAAATTTATTATTATACATAGTTTGGATTTCCTTGAATGTTTTTATTTTAAATAAATAATACAGTTTTTTAATTAATTTTTTTGTCAGTACTGACTTCCTGTGCTCAAGGGGTTCGAGACCAGCGGTTTCAGATAATTATTTATTCTGTTTCACCCGCTGTGAAACAACCCTGGGATTTGCAGATCCTACTTGGGTACGCCCAGCCTCTATGAAGTGGGTACCCTTAATTAAATAATTAATTAAGGGAGGAAACCTGCCAGGTGGTCTGCACAACCATCACAATGAACCAAAGATCCTTCATGGGTTGTAGTGTTGTAGTAATTTTATGGTTCGGATGACATGTTTCTCATATTCAGGGCGATTTCACTATACTAATTTTTCATTTTGTATTTAGAGCCTTTAACTAACTTATATGATGCTGTCGTTTTCGCAAAATACAAAATCAGCCGTGTTGATGATATGTTATTGGTTTTAATTTACTGAGATCTAATTTATTAAAAATTAAAATAATGAGTTTAATTTTGAAAATAAGAGATATCTAGGCATGAATTATATAATGTAAGCTATCTGGCATAGCAATAAAAAAATTTAAACTTTACAAAATTTATTTCTTATGAGACCCCATGAGTTTATCGAATTCCATTCATTATTAGTTGTTTCCATATACTAGTAGTGTATCCTTTAATAATTTTTATGATGGATCAAAATAGTTAACAATGTCATAAGAAAAAATATCAGAAACCAATCTGTGTATTACATAGTGTAATTCATTGTAAACAGATATGGCTTTTCGATCTTGAGATTTCCAATCTATTCGACTGACCATTAGGGTAATCTTTATGATTGCCCAGTTCTACTTGACCTTAAAAACCTGGATAGAATCAAGGACTTTTCTATTAAATGTCTAAAACACGATCTAAACATTATAATCAGAAAAAAAAATATTAGCTAATTTAATAAAAAAATATTATGCTCAGTATTATTACTAATTCGCTATTGCATTAATGGTTGCGAGACGACTCTTGAAGCAGGATAAACTTCATGATTTAAAAAAAAATTAAAATTAAGCGACTGGAAAAAAAATTAATATGATTTGACTTACCCCCTATGTTCAGATGAATAAAGACGAATAAAATGAATCGCGTTTCAGATACAGACATTTTTATTTAATTAGCTAACCATCATTATCATAGTATTGTTATATGTCAAAATCGAAAAGTAACTCAAAATTAAATGTTTTTTGTTCATCTCTTCCTTAGATTTTTTATCGAAATTATTTGAATCAAGAAAATAGACGTAGCAATATCATTTATTTCCAACGTCTTGTTTTTGCAGCCACTTCAATAATTATTCCCATAATTTAATGTAGGTGTGCTGTTAAAAAAATATATTCTTTCCTCTACACATAAATTTGCACCTCTCAATTTAAAAAAAAAAACTTGCTAGTTATTTATTCGTTTTTGGAAATATAAATGTAATAACATATTATTAAAAATTAATATAACCAGTTTCAGTTTAAATGCAAACAATTTATCATTTGCTTCTGAAGTTACTCTGTTGTTATATATTTTTTAATTGTATAGTAACAATAATCGTTAATTATTCCTTCTATATAACCAACAAAATTAAGTTAAATGTATGCTTAATATATAAATTTTTTTCAAATAACATTATCACTTAATCTTAATTTATTACTTTAATTGTCCTTTATAATTATCTTTTAGTTCTTTTATTTAATAATGTTTTATGGATATTATATAAAATAAAGATATATTTAATTACTAAGGCAGTGGTAATATGAGCGAAGAAGTCTCTTCCTGGTTCTCTGGTGAAAGATCAACCGGATGTGCAATGCTGGTTGCATTCACTTTCACTTCGAGCAATGCACCCATTTTTTAAATTTTATTTTATTTATGTTCAACTTTTGAAATTACATTCGCGTAAAAGTTTATACTTTTTATTCGAAATTAATATTCGACAGGCAGATAATTTAGTCTACATTTTATAATATCTGAAAATTTATAATATCTGACAGTGAGTAATTTGATACCAGAATAGGTGATTGCAGTGTTGAAATACAGAACTGTGTGTGAAGGTTTAAATTTTCCCACTAGAAATATTACTTATATCTCAAATTAATAATCCAAAAAGGTGGAAATTGGAGTTAGTCATTCTGTCAACTGAAAAGCTCATGTTTGGAAAATGTTAATTCTGGATTAATTTTATATAAAGTATATAACTTAGTATGTGAATTATAATAGTAACATGGTTGAAGAATATTAAAGATGATTGATATATTGTTGACTGTTTGAATTGTAAGGATGAAAAATAGTCAGGATATGGAGTCAATAATCATGTTTATTAAGGTTCCAACGTTTCGACCCAAATATGTGAGTCGTCATTAGGGCTAAAAAATATTGAAAAAGTAATTAGAAAAAGAATAATTATAAAATTATGTAAGCTAGAGAAATGTTTTTTATTTATCATTTTTATGATATAATTTTGTACTTTTTAATTTTTAGTGCCGAAACGTAGACAAACAAATTAAACATGATTATTAAATGGATATTGTGACTATTTTTCATCCTTTTATTGAAAATTATTAAATTTAATTTTTTGTTGGGAAAAATGAACTGTTTTTATTGTTTAATGCTATCTCATTATGGTCAATAAGTGAAGATGATCTACGCAAAAAAAAAAATTGCAAACGTAATAAAAGATATATGTTCTCGTCATGTCCTTGACACAGAAAGGCTTGGGTGCGGTCACTTAAAAGATCGTATGCCTTTTAAAATATCCAATTATTGAAATCTATGATAACATACAAGTTTTATTATTCAAATTATGTAACGAAACTTCCCATTAATATTTTAAAATCTTATTGTTTTTTTTAATTATTTTTTTAATAATTAAAAAAAAAGATTCAGAAATATAACAATCTGTCACAATTATGGACATTTATGATAGTGCTCAGAGAGCAAATTCACACTACAATAAATAATATAAAAAAATGATAATACTTAAAGTAAATCTATATAAACAAAAGAAATAAACTAATCAAAATAACTACTAAAACACGAGCATAGCTTTTTTTAATAATAATTATTATTATTTTTTTTTTTTATAGAATATTGGAATAGTCTACTTTCAAAAATTAATTTTTAGCTGAAATGTATGGATGTTGTATTAGAATATAATGTATTTTATTCTTTAGTTTTAATATATGGTCTACCTTAATAAAAACAATTAAACCATATAAAGTTACAAAATGTATGGTACTGTATGAAAAATGTATATATTATCTTATTACACTTAAAATACTACATTATTGATGAGCTTGTTTTATTGATTTTGACAAATAGTTATTTTTAAAATTTCATATTTGAGTCGTTTCTTCTAAAGTGAGTAGTCATTGACAATTTTTTCACGAAAGCACGAAAAACTATATTTTCTATTCCAATTGTAACATAAAAAAAAATAAATTAGTAAATTTTTATTTGAAGTATCTATTTCGTAAAATCGCTTATTATTTCAATACAATATTAAATAACATTGAAACTTGAACAGGCTCTCTTTTGAAAAGAATTAAACTTCAAATTTTGTTTTAACAAAATTTGTAAAAAAAAAATTATTGAGGTTGAGTTTGTTGAGAAATAAATGGTGTACGATTCGGAGAGAAAATTTATTGAAATTGTATTATAAAAAAATAGTTTATGTTTCAACAATGGTAAAATATAACACAAAAAATATAAGTTTATTTTTCTTTTTAATACAACCATCATACAAGCTTTTAATGAACTATTTTTTTCAACACCTCTTAAGAAATGCACGTTTCATTACATTCCTTGAAAAAAAAAGAAGACCCGTTTCGAAAATAAACTTATTTAGGCGACTTTTTAAAAATAATATTTAGATTTGTTTTTGAAAACAAAAAATAGAACCATCGGGTTCATTGGGTATTTTTATATGAGAATCGATTCTTATCTCGATTTTAAAAAATCGATTAAAGTTCACTTTAGAGATGAATGACTCATTTATTACCACAAATTTATACAAGTTCTCGCTTATCATATATTATTAGTCGACTTGGATAAAACTGCGTACCCTGAATTCAGTATGATTGATTCGTAAAGCTTTTTGTGAAACCAGTGCAAACTATTTTATTTTTTAAAAAGTTATTAATAAATAAATATTTATGGTTGGTAACGAAGCGAATGGTTAATGATTATTCTATATTTAAATTAACCATATTGTTGTCAATTAATTAATTTTAACCAATCATTGTCAACTTACGTAGCCTCTTGGCACCAACGCCTAGGACGAAGCAGACAATCCCCAATGACAGAACGGACCTCATGGCGCTGGAGTTGTTGATACTAAGCCGGTCGGGGAACGGTAGGGTGTTATATAGAAAGGGGATGTAGTGGGGACGTACCCCCCAGGACTCAGGGCATTTGTATTCCTCGCCATAGTTCTATCGGAGGATCTCCTTTTCCTCAAGATCTCTACGATTTACTCCTGGATGCAGAGGCAGGTCGATGACCAATAGAGGAATCCTTAACCCAAATCTTGGTACCTATCACTGCGTTGTGTATGTTATCACATCATCTGATAAAAAATTCTATTATGCGCTACCTTGCTAATTACTTAAATGCTTTATGTCACAATTTAATAATTATTAGCTAAAAGATAATATTATTTTCTTGTTAAATGACATGAAAAATCTTTTTTTAAAAATTATTTCTAGAAATTTTATTTATTTTTTTTATCTTTCCTTTTTTTACATTATATCTTGTACTATTTTTTATTTTCCTGCCATTATAATAAGATTAACACTTGAATAAATATTACAATCTGACAGATAGATTTGGTATCTCAATATAGGTATCTCTCTTCCAGCTCTTTTCTGGCAATAAAATCAGATCGACTTAAGTTCCATTAGTTTAGTTTATCAGTGTTTCTTTTTTTTTTAATTCTGTCTAGTTATGGAAGTATGCATATATTTATATTTATTGTATATTTTGCTACCAAAATGTGTAAAAATATCGAAAAATTAGCAACTTCCGATCATTTTTAATATAGGTTGGTGTACCTCATTCTATTAATGTTAATTTTTTTAATACATTACTAGAGTACTTTTCATCACAGATACCAATAAGAATATTTCAGTTTTTTCAAATATTTTTAAAAGATTGTTTTCGTTCCTTGTTGTTCTTTATATTCACTTGGTTAATTAGATAAATATCACATCAACAACTAGGAACATTGCAGCAATTACTCCATGTCATGGATTTCCTTACTTTATTAAACTAGATGTTTATCACAAAACATTTGTTTTTCGTCTGGCATAACGGATTTGTGGACTCTGTAACATGGAAAATATGTCTATTTAACCAAGTATAAAGGCTATTTATTTTACGATTGTGATCTCCTAAGAAAGCGTCTAAGAAAATTTCAAATAGAAGATTTCTTAAGGCAAAGCTTTTATCGTCCCGAAAATCGTACTAGTGGGGCATCTTACCCTACTTTTTTTTTCTTCTTGTTAATTTCGTCTATGTATGAAAATATTATATTTATAAGTTCAAATTAAAGGAACGTTTATTTATTTTTGTTCTATATAAGTATCTATTTTTTTTTTTTTAATAAATAAAGTTTGATACCGATTTTGCATCTCTCTTAATGTTTTTCCTCATAGTGAAGGACGAATCCGGGAAACATTTATTTGTTGGTTATTTTCTGGGGTTTTTTTTAGAGCTATAAAACTTTTTTCAGAATCTTCGATTTTATTTTGTGTGTGAGCCATGTCAAATTAATTTTTGCGAGATATCAGAGTGTGGGGTAATACCAGTTGAAAATGAAAATTTTTATTTTATAGAAAATTCAACATTTTCAAAACTTCTATTAAATTTGTAATGTGTTCTTTACTGTCGATCAAATTTTATTATACCATAGCTTGAGACACCATCATTTTGAAATTCTAGCTCATTATTCAAGCATTTATCAATTACACATGATGAAAGCCATCGTATGCGACGGCACTAGAGGAGAACTTATATGCAATTAGAGTATTTATAAATGTCACTCAAGCGTTCGATAGAGTTTGTCATCAGAGGGTGTTCATTTCTTGAACTTACTTTTATCGGAAACTTATGATTCTTCTTTTTTAAACCTTTCTCTTCAACTGGTCTTTCTCTTTCTATCGAGATTTAATATCTAATATTAGACCAGGCGGGTCTAATACGTTATGTTATTATAGCATGAGTACTTAAGGGGTTAGTACTCTATTATACTTTATATTGGCACAAAGTATTCCAAACCTACGCTAGTTACTTATGTAAACAACACAATTATCTTAAGAAGTCATCAAAATTCTGCAAGCGCAGAATCTACAAACGCAGAAACTACAAATCAACTGACAGAAATTCACGACTGGTGTTAGCTTGTTCACAACAAATCCCACACACATTATTCTTACTGCCAAAGAAACACACCTGCTCTCACATTTACCTCAAAAACCCTTTAACTCCGCAAATCTATATAATATCTTAGACCAGCGATTCTTAAATTTTTTTTGCTGAGTCAACCTTGCCTATAGAAAAAAAGTTCGTTCGTTCTTAAACTCTCTTATCAACTATTAAAAAAATTATTTATTTAATAATATTCTATTTTTTTTCCACAACTAAGGCATTTGTGATAGTGGTTAAGGAGCTAATTCGTACTTATTAATAAATATAAATTTATGAATTTTTATCTTGCCTATTCACCAACTTAGTCATTTATCTCCTAAGTAATAAATATTATTCTCGTTACGCTGTTGGCTTACGTTTGCTCCATCCTGAGAACCCTTACGTTGGGATGACATTCGAAATAAGAATGACGTGGTGCTCACACATTTACACACTTTATTAAACTGCGAGATCGATGTCTGCCGAATATCTGCCTAATAAGGTCAGTTTAGCTACCTCACCGTTTGGATTGGATAAAAAATATCTGTATTACAAGGTCTAAACTTTTTCGTATGATAATAAAATCACTGGGAGAAGACGTTTTCGGAAATTCAGTAATCACTCAACATATACGGGTTATATATCCACGAGTTTGATCATCAGCGAATACTAAAATGCTGAAAATTTCCGCATATGTAGATTGCACATTTGATAATTCGGGATTAAAAAAAAAAAATCCAGTGCGTACTGAACATGAATATCACTACTGTTAGTGTAAAAGGTCGTATGTAAAGAGTGAGTAATTTACAAGAAAGCATAAAAACTCATTGTTTCCATATGATTTATTAGTATAATTTCATAATTTATTGCCTTATGCTATTTTTCATCCTAGCAGAATGCTAATATCAGTTGCATAATACAAAATGTCACCTTTAGCACAAATTGTTTACATATGAATATTTGCACTAGCGTAGTAATATGTGCAATAAAAATAAAATCCATCAGCAAAACTAAACTTTTGTTTTTTTCAGAGTTAACGAGACCTATTTCTTCAGCCAAAAAAAACTATTTAACCTGGAATATAAAAATATATGTGAAGATCACACAGAAACTTGATACGACGGCGAGCAGGTTGAACTTCAATAGAAATAAACTCAATCACAAACAAAAATTTTCTTTTTCACAAATTCAGAGCAAAAATAAATTTAAATTATTGAAAATTACCCGAAATCTAAGTAACGGCACTAAGTGTCATGCCAATAATGTTAACCAAACAAAACAATATAAATATAATCTTTGAATAAATCCTAAAATTCTATAACTCTATAAAAATATTATCTTAACTTAACTCTCACTCCATATAATCAGTGGCTTTCACATGTCACTGTCATTATATTGTTAATAATTATTTATATTAATTTTAATTATTAAATTGAATTCATACTAGGTAATTTCTATACTATTCTCCAAATATGATCAAGTTTGGATCAAATCGAATCTGTAGATTTTAAACTATTAATTTATTTGTTTTAACCTCCTTCACGAACATAATGCTTCCCTATCTTCAATAGTGAGGAAAAAAATGAGTAAAAACCTCTGCCAAGTAATGTCGGTGTAGTTTTATCACCGTTTTCATTTTCTAAAAAATATCGGTTATACAAGGTCTACATTTTTTCTTATGAGAATAAAATCTCTGGGAGAAGCCGTTTTGGGAAATTCAATAATTCCTCAACATATATAATTTTGATTTCCACGGATTTTGTTCATCAGAATATTAAAATGCGAAAGAGTTTCGCATTTTCAGATTGCATATTTGACGATTCGGGATTTGAAAAAAAAATGCCAGTGCATACTGAACATTAATGAAAATAGAATTCAGTCAGAAATAAACTAATTTAAGCTGGAATATAAAAATATGATTGAAGTTAACGCTACTTTGATGATTAAGTAGGAAATCATAGCTGATGATACGTCCGTCACATCGATTTGACTACAGACAGACCGACAGACAGACGCCGAACCAAATTTGATCCTTGATCTCTGAAACGTAAGACACGAGAGGAAATTTTCGATTCTGAGCACAAAATATTTTTTAACCTCTCGCACGAATACAACGCTTCCCTACTTTCTGTAGTGAGGATGCAAAATATAACCTTTGTATAGACATTAAAATTTCATAAAAATATCGTTTTAAGAGATAAGACTTTATATTTAGTTTGTAGGCTTTCGTAACAATATACCGTAAAGATTTTGGTGGTATTTTTATTTATTCTTTGTAATATTTTATATGATTTATTCTAGATCATTTCGGTCATAAATTTAAATTCATACCCAAGAAACCTTTTTGTTCGCACAATATAAAAAGTAAAGGCTAATTCAAGTTTGCGGTTGCTGAGTAGGAAAATTATTCAGTCATTAAAAGCAAACCTATCATTTTGAAATTGCGTCTAATTGCAGTTTCGCAAATTCGATTTTCTCGATTAGGATTTCCCAGTACTACCTACTGGCCTTAAGTCGTTAAGTCAGGTTCCTTAATAAGTGGATAAGATCAAACCTATAACCAAAACAGCATCATGCCATAATTCAAAAGATGACGCAGGATCCGCAAAATACTTTTCTTTTTTTTTAAGATAGAGCGCTAAGAAATTTATAGTCCACGGTGCAGACCTCTGTTTTCAAATTATTAACATCCGTCTAAAACTTCTTGAATGGCTTCATCTTATTCTTAACTAAAACCTTTGTATTTATGAAAATCTTTGGAACTTCTGGAAATCGGTAAACTTTGTCTTTTTTATTTTTTTTTTTGTCTATCCCTTCCTCGACTTTTTTAGGTTATAAAGAGATTTTCCTAGGCCGGGGGAGAGGGCGGGGGATTAATTCCAGAGTTAAAAGCCCCTCCGACACCGGAACGC